TTGCTGACATGTCTTTCCAATTTGGAGTGGTTACTTGTTAGCATAGCTACAGATCGGAATTGATCTTGATCATCAGTATGTGTAAATAACACTTTAGTCACTGGCCATCTGTTCCTTGGAGATTGATCTTCTTTCAATAGCACATCATCTCTAATTTTATAATTTCAAGGTTGGGTCCACTTAGCTCTTGCTTGTGACTACTGGAGATATGCTTTACTCCACCTTGACCAAAACTCTTGTGCTAAATGCTGTATGCATCTCTATTTCTTGCTACAGTTAAGGTCTTCTCTCTTAAACTCTCCAGCTGGAGGCAGCACAAGCCTTGTCTTTCCTGTCAGCAGAATACTTGGTGATAAAGGCAGTCCCAAAAGAGGGTCATTGAGTGTTTCCACAGTCCAGGGTCTGTTGTTGATTGAGGACTCAGCTTCACACAGGAATGTCCTCAGGGATACTTTATGAAACAGTTGCCATATTTAATAACTTAATAATAATTTACCAATATATATAGCGCGTATTTACATGTGCTGATCAATAGCGCTTTACAATCATATGTTTAAAAGAAAACGAAAATACATTACCGTGAGAATAAAATAAACTAAGTTACAAACTATAAAAAATACTTCATAAAAAGATAGGTTTTAAGTCGAGATTTAAAACTGTTAAGTGATGTTGCTTGACAAAGCTCCACAGGTAGCTCATTCCAGAGTTTCGGAGCTGCTGCTGAGAATGATTTTGCTCCCAAAGTTGTAAGCATCTTTCCCTTGGGATGGTCCAATAAGAGCTTACCAGTAGACCTAAGATTATATAATGAATTCGATTTTATACTAATAAGATCGCTAAGATAAGTTGGCGCTAGGCCATAAATACATTTGAAAGTCAAAAGTAAAATCTTATAGTCAATACGCAAAGAAACTGGCAGCCAGTGCAGCTCATAAAGCGCCGGTGTAATGTGAGAAAACTTTCCAAAGCCAAGAATAAGTCTTGCTGCTGCATTTTGTACACGCTGTAATTTAGCGATCTGGACATTTGGTAAGCCAAACAATAAACCATTACAATAGTCAAGACGGCTGGTTATAAAAGCATGAGCCAAAGTAATTAAAGAATCTCTCGACAGGTATTTCTTAATACGTCTCAAGTTATGTAAATGATAAAATGCCGCATTACAAGCCTTGTTTATATGATCAGTCATGCTTAAGTTGCTGTCAAACCAGGATCCAAGATTTCTAACACATGGGCTTTGACTGATACGATTATTGCCCACAGTTATGGAACACGAATCTAATTTATCAAGCTGTTGTCGTGTGCCGACTAACAAAAACTCCGTTTTATCATCATTGATCATCAACCGATCTTGAATCATCCATTTCCTCACTGCATCAATGCACTTTTCCATAGCTTGTATAGCATCAGCTTGAGCAGTGTTGCAGAGTGGTTTAAAACTCAGATACAGCTGCGTATCATCAGCGAAACAGTGAGCATCAGGAAGATAATGTTCCACGATCTTAAACAGCTTGGACGCATATATTATGAATAGCAAAGGCCCTAAACATGAGCCCTGGGGTACCCCGCAGTTCAAGTCAAAAGGACGAGAAAGAACTCCATGTACAGAAACGCGCTGAATTCTATCAGACAAGTATGATCTAAACCAATTCAGAGCAGTCCCACGTATGCCAACCTCGTCAGATAGCCTCTCTAAAAGTATTCGATGATCAACAGTGTCAAAGGCAGCACTGAGATCCAATAAAATTAACATAGTGACATGTTGAGAGTTCATCTTTAACAAAATATCGTTCATCACCTTGATAAGTGCAGTTTCAGTGCTATGGAATTGCCTGTAAGAAGATTGAAGCGTAGGAAAAATAGCATTTGAAACCATGTGATCGTAAACTTGATTAAAAACGACTTTTTCAGTCAACTTGGATATGTATTGTAAGTTACTAACTGGTCTGTAATTTTTGTACAGCAAATCCAATCCAGGTTTCTTCAAGATAGGATTAATAAGCCCACATTTCCAATCATCCGCAAATTCTCCAGAATTAAGAGACAGGTTGATCATTTTAGTAATGACTGGTAATAGCACATCAGCACAGCTGATTACCATAGATGTTGACATTGGATCAAACATACAGCTTTTCTTCGGAGAGCAGCCAATCAACTCACTAACAGCACTTTCAGTTAAAGGGATAAAGCTGTCCAGTGTTCTAGTTGGTAGCGTTTTCACATAGTCAAAATGAGAATCATGCAAACAATCGGCTAGTCTGTCCAGTTTGACATGGATGGCGTCAATCTTTTTAACAAAGAAGCTACCCATTTCATTGGCTAAAACCAGCTTGTCACTAGTTGGTGGAAAAGGTACTTCATGACCTTGTTTTAGCAACCTCTTTGTTGCCGAGAATAGGTTCCTTTGATTGGAGTTATTTTCAACAATAAAGTCTGAGTAAAACTTACGACGGGTTTCATTCATCAGGTAGGTTGTAAAGTTCCTCTTCTTTTTAAATTCAAGCAAATCATTGACACTTCAAGATCGACGCCATTTTCTTTCAGCTCTCCGTCTTTCCCTCCTTGAATCCCTAATATCTTTACTAAACGAAGGTACCAAAGGCCTCACTGTGATAAACTTAGTGACAAGTGGAGCATGGCGATCAAGAGCCGCAGATAATGTAGAATTATAACATTTAACAAGATCATTCAGAGCATCAGGGCTGTCTGTACAAAGCGAAGTTGTAGAGAGTTCATGGCATAACAGGTTAATGTCAACCACCTTTGTCTTCCTGAAAGAGATTTTTTTTTTAGGGAGCGGTGGCCTGTCCAGGGTTAGATCACAAATCAAAGTAGAGTGATCAGAAAACAGACAGTCAGTCACAGGGATGTTAGCTAATAAGGAGTCGCATTGTTGAGTAATGATCAAATCCAGGGTGTGTCCTGACTTGTGTGTTGGCACGTTAACATGTTGTTGAAGGCCCATTGACTCAAGCAGCTCCTTTAAACAAACACTGTCTGCATTCCCCGGAACATCTACATGGATATTAAAATCACCTGCTATCAGTAACGGTACAGATGACATTATGATATTCTCCAAAAAACTCGAAAAATCAGCAAAAAATGCATTCGTCGTGACAGGATGGTTATTAGAGCAGGGTGGACGGTAAATAATAACAATCTGAAGTTTTCGCGACTGGAACTCGACCATCCAATGAGAAAACTCAAAAGAAGTACGCTCACCAGCATCTACATGACTTGCATGTAGATTTTCTCTCATCAATAGAGCAGTTCCACCACCACATCGATCAGATCGTGTGTGATCAAATAGCTTGTACCCGGGTAGGGTAATTTCGGCTCTGCACGCATCATCAATTTCTGAGAGCCATGTCTCAGTTACTGCGAAAATATCAGCTCCAGATGATTCAACATAGAAAACCAAGTCAAGTCAACCAATCCTAGAACAGCCTTACTGTCCATCCAATAGTCCTCATTGTTTCCATATTCCAACTCATTCTTCAAAATGTCACCAATCTCAACAGATAGAGTGGCAGTTGCCAATTCCAGCCTCGGGATGCTGACCGTCATCTTTGGTGTCATGCCAGCCTTTCCCATAACAAACAAAATGTGCACTGTGCCCTTTTCTTCCTTAAGCCTTAAATGCGAGCATTGACCATAGCCATACATTGAAGCATCAGACATGCAATAAAGTTGTACTGAAATAATTGTTCCAAACTCTGATGGCTTAAAACATCTTGGTGTTTTCAAGCTTTCAAGTAAGCAAAGTTCATTCCTCCATTTTTCTCATGTGCTGCAGATCACGTAGTTGACTGGCTCATCCCAGCTATTAGACTGCCAAATATCTTGCAATATCTTCTTTCTGACAAGTTCCATGGGTGATGAGACCTAAGGGGTCACAAATTGAGCTGACTGTTGAGAGGATGCCTTTACGCATACAAGGCTTGTCCCTAAGCTCGATCCTGAAGTTGTGAGTATCAGTTTTGATGCACCAAATAACTCATAGCACTCTTTCAATGGGTTATTTATCTATCTTGACCCAATTTTAGGCTGTTTACCTTCTCTGCCCAGCATTCTTGTGGAATTGAGCAAATGGTGTTTTCCGTGTTTCCAACAAACTTAGTTAAGTGCTTGCTGTGTTAAGAACATCGTCCTCATAGAAATTCCTTCCAAGGGTGTCAGCTGTCCTAATGCCATACTCATCTTTGTGGTCATCAACTATCAGCTGTATGTCTGAGAGCATAGTTACTGCATGCAGGGGACGACACTGTGCCAAATAAATGCACAGTCATACAATACTCTACTGCTTTCTTGTTCATGCCTCCATCCGGCCACCATGGAAACCAGAGAAAACTTTGATCTTTCTTTCTCACATTTACTTGAAAAAACATCTTTTTTATGTCTGCCATAAAGGTGTACTTCTCCTGTCGGAATCTGGTTAGAACACCAATGAAGTTACTGGTAAGATCTAGTCCTTGACGCAATTTTTTATTCAAGGAGTGTCCTTTGAATGTTGCCGAACAATTGAACACCACCCATACTTTAGTTGGTTTTTGCGGGTGTTAAATTGTGTGGTGCAGTAAGTACCAAGTTCTTCCATCCTGACCTTTGAATCCTCCCACCTTATGAGCATAACCTTTGGAGATGATTTCAGACACAAAGCTGCAGTAATCTGTGTAATATCTGGCATTGGATAGCGGGCACTTCTTTAGGCTGTTCAGGCGTTTCTCTCGCTTGCAGTTGTTTGGCAGCTGAAGGTCCTGATTTTTAAATGGGAGGGGCATCTCATAATGCATGTATTCAAAATGGACAACACCATTTTCCATTGTTTGGTAGAACTTGATATCATCATGTGACAATGCTGTCCCATGAACAGTGACTAATCATTTGCAATATGAAACTTTTAATCCACAAAGGCTTTGAGATAACTCATGCAAAATTTTACATTATCAGCTTAATATTAAGACCAAAAAATGGAGAAACTGAACACCATAGTGAGGTTTTAACCTGGTGGCCTCATGGCGCCGCTCGAGGATGCCAGCCACCACGCATGCACAAAAAAGCTTAAATGTCTCATATGGATACCCATGCAGCTGGGCATCAGCCAGCTGCAACACAAAGTGAAGGTTTCTTTGCTTATACTGTATTGTTCATAAGGGGTTCCTTACTCGTGCATGATGTAATGACAACAGAGATGGGTTTAGTTGTTGTCAACGAATTACTGGAATTATAAATGTATTAATGGATTGTTAATGTATGGAATTTCAAAGGAGTAAGAACAATTTCTGTTTTGTGCTTATAGTTAGCTTTTTGTGCTAACAGCTAAAATTTTTCACCTAGTATCACTCTCCATGGAGTGAGAGTTTCCTATTTTCATCATCGCTAGTTGATGTAAAATACTTTTGTGTAGATCAGAGTAAATGAATTTTTCCATTTTTTGGTATTCAGTTTCAGTTACTGTAAATGTTTTAGTTCAAGGGTTAATTGCAAATGAAAGACCTCCAAAATGTTACTCTACTGAATGACACTAATACAATCTGGATTAAGAATGAAGCCTTTAGAATCCAGAGGAGCATGAACTAGATATGGCATAATAATTTGAACCAGAGAAAGCAAGCCTTTTGGAACATGCTGAAAAATAAGAACACTTGTGTCATTTATGTTGATTGGTTTTCCAGGGACAATTTCCCAGCAAGCCAGAGGGGCAAAAAAAAAAAAGAGGCACTTTCATTGGAAAAGATGAAGGCACAAGCCAAACTTCACCATGTGGTAGCAGAACGCAACAAGGCAAAATTCAAAGAAAAGGACAGCAAAATGCTGAATGAGATATAGACAATCTCTTCTGTCCACATTCGCCAACAACTCCAAGAGCTTTGGAGGAGTGACTGTAAAAAGCAAGAGGAAAAATCCCAAAACATGTGGGAAGTAAAGAAAAGTTGGTTTGAGAAATTCAAGTGCAACAGAGAAAATATCACCAACTTGGAGGATACGGCACCTAACCCGTCAACAAACCAAGCTCAGAGACGCGGAAAGTCCAAGCAACCATCAAACAGATGGCAAAACAATAGCTGCCCCAGAAAGAACAACCAATACTTCAATAACACAAGTGGCAGAAACAGAGATACCACTAATAGCTGAAATAGTGGCAACAGAGTCTCACAACAACCAAGAAAGAGGAACCAACAGTGAAACTCAACTCAAAGTAGCTGTCAACAGAGAAGTCGACCACAGGAAAGGAACTCTAACCATAACACTGGAAACAACTGCAGGATTCATAACAGTAATCGTACCAGTAGGAATAATGACAGGAGCACTGGCAGGTCAAATTACAACTGGAGGCCTTTTTTGAGGCAGGGGCGGTACAGCAATCAGAATCAAACATGACTTTGGAGATGTTTAGGGAAATGACAAGTGAGGACTGTTTCTGCAATCAATGTGAAATCAGTGCCAATATACAGTACTTCTGCACGAACTTATGGAAAAAGGAATTTTTTGAAGATAAATCGGACGCTTCAGACACCGATGAAAGTCTGGCAAAAAATATAAGTAACTTCTGCCATTACCCTAGACAATTATATAGATTTCCTCACAAAATTTCCACTTGAAGAATTACAAGTGAGACATTAAACATTCCAATTTAACCAAAGAGGAGCAGAATGCCCTACAGGAACTCAGAGGGGGTTCTGAAATACTTATATTCAAAGCTGACAAAGGAGGAGCAGTCGTTGTTATGGACCGCACACACTATACTAATAAACTACTTGAAATGCTGAATGACTCACTAACATATGAGGAAATTACCGCTAACAAGGACAAAAATGTTATGCAACTTATAAAGGAGTTGACAAGTAATCACAGTCACAGCCTTACGGAGAAAGAGGTGAACTACCTGTGCCACTTTGATTTTAAAACTAGTGATTTCGATGGCCTTCCAAAGATTCATAAAAGTAAGATCATTTGTCAGGATGCCAAAGTCTAAAAGAAACCATACATTAGAGTTTTTAGGCCAGCAGATCTCAAATTCAGGCCCATAGTAGCTGGTCCTAGATGTTCAACGAGTAGACTCAGTAACTTTGTGGAGATCGTTATCAAGCTGTTTACTTTCCATATCCGAAGTTATCTGAGGGACACTATCAATTTCCTCAATTATTTACCAAAGACAGTACCTGAAAGTACAATATTAGTCTCATTTGACGTGACCAGCTTGTACACAAACATCAACCATGAACTCGGCGTTAAAGGCCATGGAATACTGGACCAATAAACATCCAGAGAGGCTCAACTCACATTTCAGCAAAGAATATTCCTTCAAAAGAAAGGTACTGCAATGGGAACGAAAATGGCTCGCAGTTATGCAACCCTTGTTCTCGGATATTTGGAGAGTGAATTATACAGCCAGGTCTGTAATAAAATGGGAGAAGAAATAAGCCATTATGTGTACGCAAACTGGATAAGATTCTTGGATGACTGTTACATAAACTGACATTACGGTGAAGATAAATTAAAAGAGCTTCATGATATTCTTAACAGCCTAGATGACAGCATTCAACTTTCTGCTGAAACTAGCAGCAAAGAGCTTCCATTCCTTGATGTGATGATAAGAAAAGACAATACTCACTTAACAACTGATATTTATTATAAACTGATGGATTCATTCCAATACCTCCCATCTACATCCAGCCATCCAAGACACATAAAAAATAACATACCATACAACCTGGCTCGAAGGATATGTTTGATTGTTGAGGACCAGGACATAAGGAAACATCGTCTCCACGATCTCAAACAAATCCTGCTGAGAAAACAATATCTAGCTGAGATCATTGATTACAGTGTAAACAAGGCCCTCACCCAAACAACGGAAGAGGTAAGAAGGGTGAGAGAGCAAGCTTCCAAAAATAACCTCCTTTTTCTGGTAACAACTTACAATCCCAACAATCCACAAGTATTTCAGCTGGTCAGGAAAACACTTCCCATGTTGAACCAAAACTCCTTAAAATCCATTATGAGCAAGACTAAAGTAATTCACTGTCAGCAACAACCCAGAAACCTAAAACAGATGCTAACAAACTCCTATTTCTCCAAGCAAAAGGACATTATTCCAGAAGTTAAAATCTGCGAAACAAATTGTTGTGGAACATGCCCCTATTTAAAACAGGGTAAAGAATTCACCTTCTCCACCATGAATGAAACATTTTGGATGAAACACTCGATGAACTTCACCTCAATGAACTTGATTTATGTAATAACATGAGCAGGATGTGGACATAATTATATAAGAGAAACGGGTGATGTCCTGAGAAATGAAAGTGAAAGTTCATAAACAACAAATTAGAGACCCACACACATGTATGTTGGGAGTCAGCAAGCATATTGATGAATGTGCTGCAGGATTGACCCCTCAGTTCACTATCTTTCTGTTTTACAAGATTCTCAGCCCCTCTGAGGTCATGAGAAATAACAAAGAGAGGTTTTTATTTCGAAATATAAACCCGTTCATAATTATTATTATTATTGTAATTACAATTAGATCAGTTACGTAACAAGTCAATAAACACACTTTGCTATGCCTGAAGAGCTGCAACAGGGGTGAAACGCATAGCGCAAAAGCAAAGTAAAAGTTAAAAGAAAACTTTCGATTTTCATTGGTTTTAGTGTATATATATGTCAGCCATCAAGACAGCAGAGCAGAAAAGAGAGGAGCAGTGGGAAGACAAGAGAGCTCGCAGGCGCCAGAGAGCAGAGGCCAACCCATCCCCCTCGGACGACAACGTCTTCGCATGCAGCAACTGCAGCAGGATCTGCCGCTCGAGGATCGGTCTCTACAGCCACAGCCGGCGCTGCAGCTCCACCACAGACTGACCATGGGCGCAACTCTATTGTCTCCCGAGACAGAAGGACGCCAACATATATATATATATATATATATACATATACATATACATATACATATACATATACATATACATATACATATACATATACATATACATATATATACATATACATATACATATACATATACATATACATATACATATACATATACATATACATATACATATATATACCATTTTACCATAATATATATATATATATACCATTTATTTGCCACATTGCAGAATTAACAGAATTAAAGGGCTATGAATTAACAATCAACTAATAATTAACACTACTACTACTACTATAGAGACAATAAAAATATCATAATTATTTACATATTCACATATTTACTATTGAATGAAATAAAGGAACCTGAATGCTGGGTCTTGCAACAACTCCTATCAGCATAAATAATATTTCTATTGTTGTTGCTGGCCTGCAAGTTGTAACTATGATAACTAGATGCTGTTCTTGGCTTGAGGAAATCAATGGTGTGGTCCTTTTGACTCATCTTCTAAATATATTTACAGCAGAGCTGAGTTCGATTTCCTTTCAAGCTGCTAAGGTTGGTAGTATTAGGGGCATCTAAGTAACTATGGATGGATAGATAATATGAAGTGCCCTTTTTTTTTAATTGACTCCTGGCTGCTTATATGAAAGACATTCAGGAATATCTTGCCAGACTTGTATGCCATATTCTAGTATAGATCTTATTGTTGTCAAGTAAACTTTGACAATTCCCTCTCTATTAACACCCACTTTTTTAAGAATCTTCAGAGAATACAGGTGTTTCAAACCTTTTTTCGACATGTAATCAATATGCTCGTTCCACTTTAAATCAATACTGATTGTAACACTGAGTAATTTATAAGCTGTTACACATTCAAACATGTTGTTACCTAGGGTAACTGGTCTTGTAGCAAAATTATCATTTTGCATAAAGTTAATTAACATTTCTTTTCATTTTTCTGGTTTAATTTCATATTATATTTGATAAAAAAAACTTGTGAATATCATTGACAGCTACATTTAGTAAGCTGATACCATTTCTCGGCTGGATTTCTAATGCTGTGGTATCATCAACGAATTTAATCCTCAAATGCCATTCACAGAAAAGATTGTTGGTCATTACCGAGTATTGGATACAAAAAATTTCGTCCCTTGGCTATCAAGCTATTTGGTACAGTCATGGACTGGAACTTCAAGGAGTGAATTCTTTTGAGGCCATAGAGCATTGTTCTTTGTTCCTGTGAGGGTTTGCATATCAGTCTTATTGTTCTGTCTATAAACTGGAAGAAATTTTGTAGTGCTGCATTCTTATCGGAAATAGCAACTGTGTAGGTGTTGGATTAATGTGGATTTGGTGAAAAAAGGAAAAGAGGAAAAGGAAACTCCTGTCAGACCATCTCCCACTGACATGTTATTTGAAACTTACCCAGATCAGCCAGAAATGATTGATTACATGTAAGTGTGCCACTGGTCAACAGAAATGATGTCATAGAGTCAGAAAGGAAATGAAATGAAGAGAGTAGTAGATGTTTAAACATTTTATTGATTTTTTTAATGGACATAAGAGAGAAGATCAAGTGATTCAAGACACATACTTGCTCATTTACATTTATCAACTACAACAAAATGTTATTCTTTTTCTTCTCGTTTTTATTGCAAGAATGATTATTTTTTGATGCTTGAGAAATTTTTGATGTCTTCGGGTGGCAGCTTCTAAAGCCTTTTGGCACCTTATATGATGACTTTTGATACAGCTCCAGCTTCTATGGCTTCTCCACCCTTTATGAGAGCTGGAGTAGGAGCTGCTAATGGGAAAAGACCATCTTTTTACCTTCAGGTTCTTAGGGTTTGTTTTCTACGGCGATTGGTTTCATTTGCTCTTCATGTTGCTTCTTGATGTGCATGAGGGAACAAGTTTGGATGAGGGTTTACGCACATCTCTATATGTAAGTACCTCACTCACTCACTCCATCATTTTTTAGATAAACTCTAATCACATGGATTTTAGAAAAATGAAAATTGTCAAATGGTGTCAGGAAATTGAGATCAATGTGTTTTGAAGGCGGAAGAGTTAAGTTATGAAGACATACTTCTGTCTCAAGTTCTATTGAATGAATCACTTCCAGCTATATTTCTAGTTTTCTCTTCATGATCTCAAGTCCTATATCCTTTTGAAGTTCAAAATTGATGTGATAACTGACACTCTGCTTTCAAGAGTTTGACATCAGAGATGCAATACTCTTCCATTTCTTGATGTGAATGAACATTTACATCTTGTTTCGTTTGATCATGGCACCAGGTCTCAAATTCTTGTCACTTGTCATGATAAATACCATTGGGATTAAAGTGTCGCACTATGGTATGGGTCCTCCATAACCGTGATGTTCACATGAGTTAAACAAGTGAGGGAGAAATTACCCACCTGAGTTCCATGAGACCAAAGGCTTTAGGAAATGACATGGTAGGACCTAATGTCACAGATACAGTTGATTCTCATCTGCACAATGTTGTCTATAAAGCTACTTCATCTAAGAAGTCAAAATATTACTTGGAACTGTCTTCCCCATAAAATACTTGTGTGTCTTCATCCTCCTCTTCATTGCCAACACACAAGAGTAGGATGATGTTCTCGCATCTCTTCATCTTGTATGATTTTATAATCAGCATACAGGAAAAGCAGTGGATCTAAAAACACCAAATCTTTCTCCAATTCTAGAGTGTTTGTTCTCTAAAATGTTCTGTTCTGATCTGATTCTTATTTCTTTTTAAGTTCTGATGTTTTTTTTCTCTTCTGCTGTTTGAATGTTACACTTGTCACATTCAATGTTGACATATTCTTCACAAACTCTACATTTGGCCAAGGATCTTTGATCTCCTCCATTTTCCATTTTCTTGTTGTTTTCAACTAGCTTGAAACATTTTGCTTGCCTAAACTGGGTGTCATTTCACTCAGTGCCGAGCTTGACATACTTCTTTATTGTATGTAATCTAGCTGCCTATAAATATCTCCATCTCAATAGCTGGGTATTAGTAAGTCTTGCATCACTAGCTTTATATCAGAAGCTTTGTAATGGTTGTTCTTTGTCATTAGCTCATATCAGTATCATCTGCATCAGAAGTTCTATATTAAGGAATTGGTCCGTGCCTAGCATGCATATATCAATTCTAAATGCACTTGGGAAGTTTGTCGAGTGATTCTTATGCTGCTCTCATGCTCTCCAAACTTCCCATGAACCAATTATTTTATAGCATAGCATGTAGACAAAAGTTGTGTTTAAAAAAAAGAGATTATTACAGCTATCTCAGGTCTACCTCGTGTTATACCCAAAACTATGAATAAATAAGAAGGTAAAAACGACCAAAAAATATTTCGTGACCAAATCTTTCTCTAAAAAATGGTAAATTTTCTGGTCAGAAGGGAAAAATGAATAAATTTGTTCCGTGTACCAAACCATGAGGTAGACTCACCATGCCTGAATTGTTGTTAACTGGAATTGACAACCAGTAAATGGCAAGGCTCTGTGTTGAAATTTCTGAGAATTATACGATTTCAAAACATTCAACAACACTTTTAGGATATATCAACACTTCAATTAATATTTGCTGTTTAATGAAGATTACCCAACATCGCAAAGCCTCAGTTGAAGTCAGAAAGCTTAGTTTTGTTTCCAGCCACAATTTTTATTGTGTTTGGGAATGAAATATCATGAACTCCAAAACTAATTTCCTTACTAGAAAGAGCTACATGCTCATTTTGCCATGGTATCTCCCAAGGAAATAGATAGGCCTTACATGCTTGCTATGTTATAATAGTAACTCTATATTACTAGCTCCATATCAATACCTCAGTATCTACAGCTCTTTATCAGGAGCTCCATTTTGGTCACTCTAATGTAGGAGATCCATATCGGTAACACTATTGTAGGAACTCCATGTTAGACGCTCCTAATCAGTAGCTCTGTATTAGTAGCTTGGAATCAGTGGTTTGCTATCAGTAAATCCATATTAATACATCTGTATTAATTGCTCTCTATCGGCATCTCCATTATAGCCTGGCATCAATGTACTCTGTAGCTCCGTATATGTAGCTCCATACCATTAGCTTCCTACCAGTAGCTCCATATCAGCAGCACTGTATTAATAGCCTCGTATCAATAGCTCCATCACGGTAGCTCTGTACTATAAGCTTTGAATCACAATTGATCAATTAAACTCTTTGGTGGCGAGCTCATTGGTGGAGAGTTGACTGCATACCCTTCTCATTAGTAGCTTGGTATCAGTAGCTCCAAATTCATATCAGTCAGTTGGCCACTGTTGCTCCCTATCAGCATTCCTGTTCTTGCTTGGCATCAGTAACTCTATATTAGAAGGTCCGTATTGTTAACTCCATATTAGTGGCTTTTACTAATTTCTTCTGAATCAGGAGCTTGGTATCAGTAGCCCTGTTTCACTAGCTCCATATCAGTTGCTCCAATACAGTAGCTCTGTATTACAAGCACCCTATCACCAGCTCTGTATCAGAAGCACCTGCAGCAGCACCTCCTGCATCAGTAGCTCCATCATGGCTTGGCACAAGTAACTCTGTATCAGAAGCTCGACATTAGAAATTTCATATTAGTACCTCCATAATAGTAACTCCATAATAGTAACTCGGTATTAGGAGTAGCCTCATATTATAAACCCTGTATCAGTAGCTCTTGATCAGTAACTCCATCTCAGTGGCTCCATATCAATTGCAGTCTGTTAAGTAGTATGCAATATACAGTATATAGTATGATATATAGTAGCTTCATATCTGTACCAGTAGTAGATGCAGTGGCTCTGTACTAGCAGAGCAGTCATAGCTCAGCATCATCAACTCGGTATTAGTAGGTCCTCATCTGTAGCTTGTTATCAGTAGCTCCATAAGACTAGCTCCCCATTAATAGCTTCTGTGTTAGTAGCTCAGTACCATTAGCTCCTGTATCGGTAGCTTCATGTCAATAGCTCCACAAAAGTAACTCTATGTCAGTAGTAAAAAATCAGTAGTTCAAGTGTCAGTAGCTCCATATCATTAGCTCCTGTATTAGTAGCTCAGTATCAGTAGTTCCTCAGTTAGTAGTTCCTGTATCAATAGCTTCTGATGGAAAATCCTTATTAGTAGCTCTTTATTAGTCACTTCATGAAAGAGGCTCTGTATTAGTAACTCCTTATCATTTTCTTTGCATCAGTAGCTCTGAATCAAAAGCTCTTATCAGTAGCTCCATATAAAAAGCTCCGTTTCTGGTGCTCTGTATCAGTAGCTCAGTGTCAGTCACTTCATATCAGTAGCTTCTGTGATAGTAGCCCTGTACTACTTGCACCTGTATCAGTAGCTTCATATCAGTAGCTCCATAAAAGTAATTCTGTATTAGAAGTTAGCTATCAGTAGCTTGGTGTCAGTTACTCTGTATCAGTAGCTTTGTGTCGGTAGCTGCATATCATTAGCTCCTGTACTGATGGCTCTACATCAGTAGTTCCTCAATCAGTAGCTCCTTTTCAGCAGCTCCTTGTTAGTAGCTTCATATCAGTCACTCCATGGGAGGGGCTCTATACTTGTAACTCCTTATCATTACCTTTGTATCAGAAGCTCTTATCAGTAGCTCCATGTTAGAAGTCTGTATTTGTAGCTCTGTGTCAGTAGCTCCATATCAGTAGCTCCTGTATTAATAGCTCTGTAACAGTAGCTCCATGCTAGGAGCCCTGTAACAGTAGCTCCTGTATTTGTACCTTGGTAGTAGTAGATCGCTATCAGTGGCTCCTGTATTAGGAACTCCAAATTAGTAGCCTCACATCAGTGGCTCTCTATCAGTATTTTAGTGTCAGTATCTCCTGATCAGTAGGTCCAGACAAGGAACTATGTCTCAGTAGCTTCCTATTAGTAGTTTTCTGTCATTAGCTCCATTAGCTCCTTAGCTCATTAGTTCCTTTATCATAAGCCAGTATCCATAGCTCCTTATGTATAGGTTCATCTAATTAGCTCTGTATCACTAGCCCTTTATTACTATCCAGGTAGTAGTAGCTCCATATCAGTAACTGTGGTACAAGGAGCTTTTTATCAATAGGTCCTGTATTAGTAGCTTTGTAGTAGCTCTTTTTTAACAGCTTGCAGTTAGTAAATATGTAGCTTTCACTCCAAATTAGCGGCTTTTCTTTAAAAGCTTTCTATTAGAAGTTTAAGTATGATTTACTAGCTCAGTATTGGTTACTTCTTATCAGTAGCTGTGTATAAGGAGCTCTATCTCAGTAACTCCTTTATCAATCATTTTGTAGCAGAACCTCAACATTAGTAACTCCGTAGCAGTAACAGTAACTCCATGTTAGGAGCCCTGCAACAGTAGCTCCTGTATTTGTACCTTGGTACTAGTAGCCCTGTAGCAGTGGCTCCTGTATTAGGATCTCCAAATTAGTAACCTCACATCAGTGGTTCTCTATCAGTATTTTGATGTCAGTATCTCCTGATCAGTTGCTCCATGCAAGGAACTCTGTCTCAGTAGCTAACAATTAGTAGTTCTGTGTTATTAGCTACTGTATCATTAGTTCCTTTATCATTAGCTCAGTATCCGTAGCTCCTTATGTATAGGTTCATCTAATTAGCTCTGTATCACTAGCTCTTTCTTTACTATGTAGGTTGTAGTAGCTTCATATCAGTAGCTGTTGTACAAGGAGCTTTTTATCAATAGGTCCTGTATTAGTAGCTTTGTAGTAGCTCCTTTTTAATAGCTTGCAGTTGGTAACTGTAGCTTTAGCTCCAAATTAGTGGCCTTTTACTAAAAGCTTTCTATTAGAAGTTTAAGTATGATTTATTAGCTCAGTATTGGTTACTTCTTGTCAGTAGCTCCATATCAGTAACTCCTTTATCAATCGTTTGTATCAGAACCTCAACATTTGTAACTCTGTGTTAGTACCTTGTATCAGTAGCCTTGTATCAGTAGCCTTGTATCAGTAGCCTTGTATCAGTAGCTTTGTATCAGTAGCTCTCTATCAATAGATTCCTACGTGAGGATTAGTATCAATAGCTTTGTATCAATAGGTCTGTATCATTAGGTCTGTATCATTTGCTTTATATCTGTAGCCTTGTATCAGTAGCTCTCTGTCAGTAGGTCTGTATCAGAAGCTCCTTACGGAAAGATCCTTCTGAGAAGATATGCTCTATATCAGAAGTTCTGTATTAGTAGCTGCTTATCACTATGTTGGTATCAATACCTCCATATCAGTAGGAACGTTATTAATAGCTTAATAATAGTAGCTCCATATCAGTATCTGTATCAGTACCTGTGTATCAGTAGCTCTGTATCAGTTGCTCCATATCTGTAGCCTTCTATCAGCAGCTCCCTGTGACTACCTGCATACCAATAGCTCCCTGTCAGAAGCTTTGTATCAGTAATTCTACCTAAGTTGTTCATTATCAGTAGATTTATGCTCTGCATCAAATATCAGTAGCTGCAAATCACTACCTTCTTAGCAGTACCTCTGTATCAGTAAGAACTTTGTAAATAATAGCAGCTCCATTTCAGTATCTCCCTATAAGTAGCTTGGTATCACTAGTTCTGTATCACAAGCTCCGTATCTGTAGCTCTGCATCAGTAGCTCTACATAGGATCTCCACATTAGCAGCTCCTGTATCAGCAGCTTCTGTTACAGGACCTCCAAATTAGTAGCTCTCTATCAGTAGCTCCATATTTTTGGATATTCTTATTAGTCATGTCATATAGGAAACATCAAGTCAGTAGCTACCCGTTAGTAACTCTGTGTCGTTAGCTTCATATTACGAGATCTATATTGGTGGCACATCCGTACTCATAGCTGGGTATCAGTAGCCCATTACCTTTAACTGCATATCTTTACCTCTGTATCAGTAGTTCCATATCAGATGGTCTGTACCAGTAGTTCAATAGTAGTAGCTCCATATCTTAAACTCCATATCATTAGATCCATATCTGTTGCTTGGTATCATTAGCTTTATATCAGAGGCTCTATATCAGTAATTCTATATCAGTAGCTCATAATTAATATCTCATGTATTGGTATCTCTTTATCACTAACTCCTGTATCAGTAGCTTCATTTAAGTAGGTTTGTATAAGTAGCTCGATAATAGTAGGTCTGCATTAGTAGCTCCATATAACTAGCTTGACACCAATAGCTCGGCATTGGTTGCTTCATCTTATTAGCTTGAGACCAGTAGCTTCTGTATCAGTAGCCCTGTATCACAAGCTCTGTATCAGTGGCTCCTATTAGTAGCTCCACATCAGTAGCTCCACATCAGTAGCTCCACATCAGTAGCTCCATATCAGTAGCTCTGTATTAGGTACTTTGCATCATTAGCTTTATATCTGTAGCTTGGTATCGTTAGTTCTATATCGGAAGCTCTGCATTAGTAATTCCATATCAGTAGCTCAGTTAATAGCTCATGTGTTGGTATCTCTGTGTCAGTAACTCCTCTATCGGTAGCTCTATATAAGTGGGTTTGTATGAGTTACTTTGTATTATTAGCCCCTATTACTAGCTTAACACCAGTAGCTTCTGTATTAGTAGCTCTGTATCAGTTCCTCAGTATCAGTAGCTCTGTGTCAGTAGGTCTGTTCAAGTAGATCCTCGATTGGTAGCTCGATGTTGGTAGCTTTGTACTAGTAGCTCTATATCATTAGTTCCATATCAGTAGCTCCTGTATCATTAGTTTTGTATCAGTAGCTCTATGTTATTAGCTCCATGTCTGTTGCTTGGTATCAGTAGCTTTATGTGAGAAGCTCTGTATCAGTAATTGTACAAGTAGCGGCGTATCAGTAGCTCCATGTAAGTAGTTCCGTATCAGTAGCTTTGTACAAGCAGCTCCTGTATCAGTAGCCCTTGCATTGGTATTTCTGGTTGGTTAACTCTGTATTAGTTGCAGGTTTTCAGTACCTCAGTTACTGTACTTCCTTATCAGTAGTCTCAGTATTAGTAGTCTGTATGAGTAGCTTCTGCATCTGTAATTCCTCTATCAATAGTTCCATTTTATAAGTTTGTGTATTAGTAGCTCAATAGCTCTGTTCTAATACCTCGGTAGTAGTAGCCTCACATATGTGGCTTCTTAGTAGTAGCTTTGTATCAGTACCTCTGAATTTGCTTCTCCGTTTTAGTAGCTCTTTTCTAGTTGCTCTGAACCAGTGGCTCCATATCAGTAGCTCTCTCGTAGTCTTTTCATCTCAGTATATCTGGATTATTTCCTCCATATTGGTAGCTCCTTATCAGTTGGTCCATATAAGTAACTCAATGTCAGTAGCTCCATATTACGATCAATAGCTCAGTATGAGTAGCTCTGTATCGGCTGCCTACACTAGTAGCTCTATATCTGAGGCTGTGTAGCAGTACCACTGTATTAGTTGTTACTGAGCAGCTCCATATTACTAACAGTGGCACAGTATCACCAGATAAATATCAGTAGCTCTGCACTAGTAGTGCCACATTAGTAACCCAAGTTTAGCAGCTCTCTAGCTCTGTATTACTTAATCTGGAAAAGAAGCTCCACATTGGTAGTGTGGTATAAGTAGCTCAGTATCATTGACAAATGTCTCAGGAGCCCCTGTATCGGTAGCTCTTTAGAAGTAGCTTTATATCAGAAGCTCTGTATCAGTAATTCAGAATCAGTGGCTCCTAATTAATAGCTCCTGTATTGGTAGCTCTGTATCAGTAACTCCTGTATCAGTAGCTTCATAAAAGTAGGTCCATAGAAGTAGCTGGATAAGAGCAGCTCCACATCACTAACAATAGCCCCGTATGGGTAGCTCTAAATCAGTTGCTCTACACCAGTAGCTTCATATCTGAGGCTGCTCTACACCAGTAGCTCCATATCTGAGGCTGCTCTACACCAGTAGCTCCATATCTGAGGCTGCTCTACACCAGTAGCTCCATATCTGAGGCTGCTCTACACCAGTAGCTCCATATCTGAGGCTGTGTACCAGTACCTCTGTATCGGTTGTTCTGTCTTATTAGTTCTTGTATTAGTAGCTCTGTATCAGTAGTTCCGTACTGGTAGCTCCACTCCATATCATTAGTTCCATATCTGTTGCTTGGTATCAGTAGCTTTATATCACAAGCTCTGTATCAGTAGCTAATAATAAATCCTGTATTGGTAGCTCTGTAACTCCTGTAACAGTAGCTCAGTATAAGTAGGTACATATACGTGGATTGATAACAGTAGCTCTATATTTCTATTAGTAACTCTGTATTAGAATCTCTTTATCAGTAGCTCGGGATCAGTGTTATCTTATTAGTATCAGTAACCTGTATCAGTAGCACAGTATCAACAGATTCATATCAGTAGCTCCACACTAGTAGCTCAATTTTAGTAGCTCTCTAGCTCTGTATTACTAGATGTGAAAAAGAAGCTCCTCATGGGTAGTGTTGTATAAGTAGCTCAGTATCATTAACAATTGTTTCAAGAGACCCTGTATCAGTAGCTCTGTATTAGTAGCTTTATATCAGAAGCTCAGTATCAGTAAATTAGTATTAGTAGCTCTTAATTAATAGCTCCTGTGTTTGTAGCTCTGCATCAGTAACTCCTATATCAGTAGCTTTGTAGGTCCGTAGAAGTAGCTGGATAAGAGCAGCTACATGATACTAACAGTTTCTCTGTATCAATAGCTCCATATTAGTAGCTCTGTATCAGAAGCTCTGTATCGGTAACTCCATATTAGTAGCTTGATATCAGTAGCTCCATATCAGTTGCTCCGTGGCAATAACTTTGTATTAGTAGTTTCTATTTTTAGAGCGTAAACGCAACAAAGAAACAAAACAGAACTTTTTCCCTACTTTAAATCAGAACAAAACTATTGCATAATCAAAGTCGTCTTCAAGTGTTCATTACACTCCGCGCCCAAGGATTCTAATCCTTGCTACTCAAATACATTGACGTCTACTGTTGGTCTGAACAGACTGGGTGGCTCAGGAGTAGAACTAGCTCCTTGATCGGCCGTAGGTAGGTTTTCCTTTCTCTGTCTCTGACCATATCTACTTTGACTTTCCTGACCCTGCTATTGTCGCTTCTTAGATTGATTGCATCTGAGGAATTTGGCATGGCCGCATAGTGTGAAGAACCTCCTAAATGAACAGATAAAGGTGCTGGAATCTGTGGCCTCTAAGACTTCAATGTGAATGGTTCTGCTACTGAGGCACGTGAACACTAGGCCCCACCGCTTAGCGTTCACTTCTCTTCCTCTTGTCTTACGTGTTGGCACCATCCAGGGGCCAAAGACGTCAAATCCTATGTTAGTTAAGGGGGGACAGACTTAGGTCCTCTCAGCTTCTTGCAGAGTATGCAGGCTCCAATCCCTTTCGTCACTGTGTCATGACCTTCAATGAGCCAGAATCCTACTTGTCTGATCGCACCTTGTGTAATCTGTCTCTCTTGGTGGTGTGCCTTGTGATGATAGTGCTTAGCCACTAGCTGTGAAACATGGTGGTTTTCGGTAGCGTGATTGGATGTTTCTCTCCGTACTCTATCTCTGCTCTCCTTAATCTGCCTCAGATGTGGGGGATCCCATGGCTGTCCAGAAATGGGTTGAGATGTCACAATTGTGAACCTTTGAGTGCTTTCATGGCACTGCTTTGGATTTGTCTCGGAAGCTGGGGTTCTTTTCTGGTGTCTCTTGTTAGCTTGCTAAAGGTGGCTTTTTGTGTGCTGGGGATTATGACTTGCAGGGCTCGATCCCATTCTTGGACTGTCAGGGGTCCGAGTATACCAGTGTCATGCAACATGTGTATCAGGAAAAGATAGCTTTTCATTTCTTCAAGGACAATACCAGTAAACTAGCTGGGCCAGATGAATTTTTAGCTCTCTCCAAGGTGAATTACATCCAGCAAAGTTAGGAGGGGATAGTTCCATGGGTAGGGTTCCATCCATCACCATTGCGTCCAGTGTTAGCAGTGATTTCTTGTTATACTCTTCAGTATTGGTTACAAGGACAAAAATGACAAATCTGTCGCACTTTAAGCCCACATTAAGACACTTGTTGCAAGCTTGTAATGAGGGAATATATGACAGGTGGCCTCTTTCTTTACCATTTGAACAGACTTTACTTTCAAACTGTCATTGCAACTGCCACAGCATAATGAGTTTTGACAGGATACAATGTGGTTGGTTGCAGGCTGGTGCTTTAAACATTGCTACAATGTCTGGAGTAAATCCGACTTTAAAATGGTTAGATGAATTTGTTGAAGGATCACAGAGGTTACAATCTGAAAATGTTTGGAATTCTTTCAATAATCTGCTTTCAGTTCCGAAGAAGGTTCCGAGTTATTCCACCTAGGTACTCAATTATATAAAAAACTGGCACACACCTCTATTCCACACTAAGTCTGATACAGAATGTGGATTGACTGAAGCAAATGCAGCCGTGTTGTTGATAGATTTAAAATATAAACAATCTTTTGGAACCTTTCCTTCTTTAAGAAGATGATTCAATCTAATAGCAACTGGATGGGCATTGTCTAAGCAGCTGAGAAGATAAATTGTAACAGGTATGATTATTTCAAAGCTGGTTTATTGCAAGGAACTTACTTCCTTGGTTATTGAAATTCATCTTTTTGTCTTGTCAAGTATGGTCGCCATCTTGTAGCAAAATTAAAGGATGAATATTTATTTCAAAATCAGCAAATTGATACTAAATTCAGTGATTTTCTCTCAACATCAATGCCATCAACTTGGCACTTTCAATGCTGTTTTTAACTCTTAAATCAAGAGAGAAAATCACCTCGAAAAAAGTCTCTTATGCTTCATTATTAAGACTATCTAACCGCTTTAAAGATCAACAAACAAAAATTTGCATCAACAAATTGGGTGCAAATCTACCTCATACTAGCAAGACGGACTGGAAACTACTATCTTGAAGCAAGATGGCGGACCGTATCAAAGAAAGTGAACAAAACGGTGTAAAAACATGGGTAAACAGCCAATGGATTTTATTTTTTACCAATTTAGAGGAGCTGTTGAGTGCATACGAACAAAAAAAATTCTACAAATGACACTGTTTTAAGGAAAGTTTAAGTATTAGTTTGGAAAGTGCTGTGCAAGCTTTGCAAAATTTAACCGTGTTTGTGTAGGGAAGCAGTTCTCTGGTAGTAGTCACATGTTTTGCCCAAAGCAGGGCAAGAAGAACCACAAAATGTGCACTTTCTTTATAGTGAGCCTGAACCTCAGTTGGCATGAAGGATTTTTTTTGTCTGCTGCTGCCAGCTTGAATTTCATTCCCGGTTGGATTTTCCATGTTTTGCTCCTTTGGCCCATCACTTTAATGTGTTCTTTTGAAGCCTCGGATGCTCTTGCAATAGCAATAGCTTTTTCCAGTGTAAGCTTCTCTTCCCTCAGTAATCGTTCCTTCACTTGTAGATCTGGTATACTAAACACGAACTTGTCTTGCACCATGTCATCAACCAGCAATGAGTGCTCGCAAGATTTCACCTTGTTTTTCAAAAGTGTGACGAACTGATCCACGGTTTTAGAATCTTTCCGTGTTTTCTGCCAAAACTGATGTCCCTCGAAGACTATGTTCTTCCTGGGGTTACAATGTTAATTTTTTGAAAGACTTCTTGAGAAGTGACTAGTAAAATATGAATGTTGGCCTTATTAGTGCTCAACACGCATTCTCTTAAGGTCGTGCAACATTAAACTAAATAATTATTTAGCAGAACAGCTGGAAATATACGAAAGAGAAAGAATACTTTTAGATGCCAGACTGCCTGTAAATGTTTCAACAGTGACATTTAATTATTTTTCATTTCTTGAAAATGGTGTATAGAATTAAGTTGAATAATAACCTGGATGTCTCTTTTTCTTTCAAGGTTAGTCAACATCCACAAAACGTATGCAGATAAAAGAAAAGACTAATTTTCATCACCATGACAAGTTACTGATATGTGATGTACACATTGGTGATGTACACATTTTTCTCTGATAAAATTAATAAAACTCTAGGAGGAGATTTCTTACAGAGGCCCGAAGCATTTGGTAAAGCTGTGTTCACCACTTGCATCCTGGTCACAAGAATACTGAAAATACAGACAATTTAGCACAGTTCTCAGGCTGTTGTGAATGATGAACCATTGATAACAGTTCTCATAGCTAAGTCAAAAGCTGTATAATTTTGGAGATGCTTTGGAAGCTTAAGCACAAGAAGACATGTTGATGAGAAAATACTGTCACCACTATTGTAACAATATACTGATATGCGATGGGGCAAAGTGGACTTTAAAACTTCAGATGTGCCTGTGACAAACCTAAGAAATTTCTTCAAATCATCTACAGATAGAGTTGTTATGAAAGTCTTTAGCATTTGGTACACACAGTCATCACTTCCGTCCTTGTCAGATGAATCTTGAAAATACAGGCCGCTGATTACAAAATCATTTGTAAGTCCACCCTGATGAACAAACAATTATTCAAATAATCCTGGATTATGTTCCATCTCTGCTGAAATGCCTAGGGTGGAGAGACCTTTTCTGAACTGATCAAGGATAGACTTTCTTTTTACAAGAATGTCATGAAACATAAGTGACTGTCAGGCTGCAAATGTACACATAAGTAATTGTCAGGCTGCAAATGTAAAGGAATTTCACCGTAAGCTGGAAGATACTCCAAGATAAGATAAAGATAAACACTTGAGCTACTTGGGTGTATGTTTAGATCTACCTATTGTCAAAGGCAATAAGGATACATGAATATCATTGAAGGAACAAATTCTTTTTTGTTCTGATATACATTAACGTTAATATGATATACTTAGGATGACTTACAGCGACAACTCTGGTTTCCCCAGCCTCATACATTAGTTGCACAAACTCTGATTCAAATGCAGTTGCTGCTAGCTCCGTGTCAGATACATCTGATATCTACAAGAGAAAGAGAAAGGAATTTTTGCGGTCATCCTTAAAAAAAATTCTAAGGGTTGCTGAAAGGACAGGGAAAGTTGAAAAGCAACTTTTATGCAGCAAAACATGGAACTATTGCATAATTGTAAAATATTCAATTTTAACAATCTGTTGTTGCTCTGTCGTAGTTCGCGGTTCGCTCAATCATTCGAGACAGGATAAAGGCTCATTTTCCAAAAAAAAAAACCTTTATAAACAACAACATTACCACGACATCTTGAAGGCGTGCTCATACAGTTTTATCCGTAATACATTGCGAACATAGTCGTGACGCGATGTCACGACATATGTAACGACATCCGTGTCACATAATTTATAGAAGTCTACATCAAATACTGTAACATAAAAATAACACTGTAGATTCAAAATCGTGGAATTTGAGATAAATGGTAAGCAATATTACAGACACATTTTGCTATTATTCATTTTTTTCCATTTTTTTTCCCATAAAGGCCAATTTATGTACATCAAACAATACAACAATCAATAACTATTTCAAGATAACATTAACACAAATAAAGGAAACTAAGCACAAATTATGTAATCTTAATTGTGACTTGATCTTGAGGGTCTGCTCTCAACTTCTCTCTCATCCCTCTTGGAGGCATTTTTTATTCTCAATCTCTCAAGTACTTTAGCACAGTTCTCTCCATTTACAGCTTGGGGCTCTCTGTCATCTGATCACCAATTTCCCCCTCTGATCCTGGCCAGCAAGGTCTCTTGCAGTTGAAGCTGTTGAAAAGTGGTACTTCCAGTCGCTGTAGCTGTCCTAAAATCTGTCGATGCTAAAAGTCCCTAATGGAATTTACCAATTCCTGTTAATCAGAAGAAGCTGAAGATTGATCTTCCTGTAGTTCTAAGGGTGTTGATTGACTTTCTTTGTTCACTAGACAATTGAAACAATTGACGTCTAAGTCATCATAATGGTCGGTGACATCGGCATTCACTTCTTTACTTTTGAGCAAACTCAAGTCAGATACATTGTTTGTGCACACTAAGACTGACTAATGTTGCTGAGATTTTCAAAAGAAGAGAGTTACTTAGAGACTCTTTGTATTCCACAGCTGCCAGAACACTAGCATGATATTGCAAGAAGTGCAACTTTGATTCAACTAGATAACTAATTCATGCAAGCAAAAGGTGAACACGATTGGATGCATGACAATTAAATCTTTGTGTGGCAGCATAGCTACTGATTTGTTCCTAAAACCACAAGAAAACAATCTCTTACGTTAACATACAATGTTATAACATAGCTGGTAAATTTTCCTAATCAAATTCAATTGCACAAGTGTGCTTCATATTCCTATTGTGCACGCTTATGACGTCAGCAAGCAAATCCCTCGAGGGAAAAAAATTTCCATCGGGTTGAAAATGTTATAAAATGATTGGTTCATATGTCAGCTGTGCGTTCATCGAGTTATGAAGTACTTGGGAAGTTTGGAGAGCACTCAAGAAGCTAGAGTTGCTCTCGGCTACGCCTTGAGCAACTCTTACACATGCTCTCCAAACTTCCCGCATGCTTCATATCTCGATAAACGCACGCTGACGTATGAACCAATTGTTAATTATTACCCTGTTGTCAGTGGTCATTTACCCAGTTTCATGAACTTCTTTAAATTAGTGTGACTGACTTGCTAGTGAGGGGCAAGGAGTCAGGCAGAAAGATAGGGAAATGCCTTGATTTCTCTAATATTCCCTTTTGATTTCTTTGCACATTAAACTGTAAAAAGTTTCCCACCTAAATGTACTTGATGTTGGGCTTACTTGATCCAGAATGTAGTCTATTTCTTTATTTCTTCAGTTGTAAGGGGTGCAACAACTCTCTGTTTCTGGGCAGTTGTCATGTTGTGGAGGAATCTCACAATCCTAGCACCCACTTGCAACACATGCCACTGCTTGTGTTTGTTGAGCAGCTCACTGAAGGTGTCGCTCTTCTCTGTTTTCTCTGCCACTATGGCAAACAACTTGGACATTTGTTTTACTTCTTCTGCTTTTGATTCCTTAAGTGGATTTTGTTACAAGGTCTGGTGGCCAGTCCTGTGGTTGTGATAACCAGCTTGGTCCCTGCCGCCAAAGAGCTCTCAATCTGTTAACATCTCCTCCCCAACTCCATACATCTGGGAGTCTCTTGGATTCTCTTCTGTTGGTACATGCCTACAGTTGATTTGTTTTACTTGGATATTCCTCACCCAATTTCTGACTAGCTGCTTGCATTTTCTGTTTCCATGGATCCAGTGCAGTGTTACTGAGGTATCCAGCCAACCATAAACAGTTCTCACAGGAAAACCCTCCAGGACTTCTTTGATGTTTTGTGCTAGGTATGTAGCCATTTGTCCAGCCAATAGTTCTAAAAGGGGAATTGTAAGTTCTTTCTTTGGGAGCCATGATTTTGCCATTACAAGGCCTTGATTTGTGCCTGATGGTTGCTCCAATACTGCGCAAACCGTGGCTGAAACTCCTTCCCTGCTTGCATCTCTGAATGTTTGAAAGTCAGTTGTTAGGATCTTCTCTTCCTGCTCCACTACGTTTCTTGATGCATTCACTAGCTCTGAAAGTCATTGTTCCCATTTCCTCCATTTGGCTGGTAAGTCACATGGTAGGGGGTTATTCTATGCAATACATGTGTCACAGGCATCTCTGTAAAGCTTTTTTTCCAGAGAGGGTCATAGGATGAAGCTAGTCCAAGTGGATCGTAAATTTGTGCTACTTTTGTCAGGATGCCCCCTATTTGTCAGCTCATTGGTTGAAGTCAGAAAGCTGACCTAAATTTTGTCTTTTTCCCACAGAACTCCTAGCAATTTTGATTTGCCCTGCTTTGTAACCAGTTGCTGTTTGGCATAACTCTGACTTTCTTTATCTGATGTGGATATCCACATTGATGGACAGATAACGATCTTTGGTGAAGTGACCATATCATGATTCCAAACATTTGTTTTGTTGTCTTCCCGCCACTGATTTTATCATTCATGTACATGCTGCTCTCAATCCTCTACTAGTTCTGACTTTTGTATTGTTGTAGATGTTGTAACTGCTTCCGTTGAAGTTAAGTGTTACCGCTTCAGAGAAAAGCTGCAAAATATTTTCCGGTTAGGTTGTTGCCCCCGTGATTAGTTCTTTTTAAGACAGAAAATTACAGTTAGCGTTTCAGTTCAAGATAAGACCCCGTGTGATCAAGATCGTTTTTAAATAGAAGACAAGTTAGACTTTAATCCTCGATAAAGTAATCAAGACCCGCGAATTTTGGTAAGCAATAACTTGTTTTGTGATTGTTATCTAGCAACACGAAATTTATTGCTTGTTTCTACCTTTCTTTTGGCTCTTTTAATTGTCACATGTTTTTTTCCAAAATTGAGATTATTCTTACGCTATGATCACAATACTTAGGTAATTTCTTCACGTAATGATTTCAGTTGACCGCTTTGATATAATAACGCCCCAAGGAATAGGAAAAAGAATAAAGGAAGAAAAGATCCTATATTGGTTTGGTGTCTATTGCATGCGTGTCTATCAACCTGGGAATCGAGTTTCCAACTCTAGCTTGAAAAGAAACATTTACAGATGTTTTTTAATAACTGCAGCTAGGGGGAATGGAGACAATGCTAAACCAAAGAGTACTCGAAAGAATTGCAAGGTTTCTACTGGCTTGCTTGTCAGATCTTTTCACCAACAAAAGTATAAGGCATCTCGGTCTCCTCTTCACATGCAAATTGGCAAAAATGCTTGCTTCAAATCGCTGATTTTTGCTAGGGGATAGAACCATGTTCGAAAGCTGGTTCTGTAGCAGAGGGCTAATTTCAAGACACTTGTTGAGTCTGGGGACCCTTGCATTTTCTCCTATGGAAGCATCATAGACAATATGCATCTTTGTAGACTCTGTGTTCTTACGACCTCTTTTTGAGGAATTTAGAGCTCTCTCTGCTTGTTGAATTTTGCACAACATTTGTTTGAACATTCATGATGAAACTGTTGTGGATATCCACATTGGTGGACAGTACCTTGTTCTCCCATTACCATGATGCAAACCATGAAGGCACAAGGTTACCAAATAGAATATAACTTTTTTTAGTGTTCTATTTTTTATTGCCAACATTAACAGTGTGTGCCATTAATTAAAAAAAACTTTTCTTTTTCCCCTTCACATTCGAGAACATTTGAAATTCAGTGGAAAACATAGTTAGAACTTTTAACCACTTGGGTCTTTTGTTGAATGCCATCAAAATGATTAAGTACCTTGACCTCAGAATTTTTATCTAGTTATAAATTGACTGATCTGTGTAGAATTTCTCTCCATATGTATTATTATTTTGTACTTTAACTTGATTTATTAACATGTTACAAACTGTGTTTGTTCATGTATTGAATCCAATTAAAACTAATTATGGTATTGTGAACTTTCACTTAGAAAATACAGCATGAAAAGCTTCAACTGTAACTGATGTCTAGAAATATTTCACCTGACTATACACACTGTCTGTATAGTCACTGTTCTTTGACTGTCTTTACTTGTCCCCCTAGAAAAATCTTTGCAATTTCTTTGACGGTTGAACACATCATCTGTTGGCTCTTTAGCTCCCTCTCTGCCCCTCTTTCAACCAATCTTTCAAAGAATTCATGGTCTCTGTTTTGACTCTGGGTCAAAAATGCAAAGTAATCTGCAGCTCTCTGATCAGCCTCCTCTGCCTTCTATGACTTGCAAGCCCACAGCTGTTTCTTCTTTGTATCTTAGGGGCTGTCTTTGCTTACTTATGTTTTGCTGCCCAGTTTTCTTTTGAAGAATAAATATTCAGAATACACAAGGTTCTGTTTTATGGGTCCTTTGATGTTAAAGTCCCTTGAAGGTGTAGTGGAGCAAGAAGACGTGGAAGCACAGGGACTAGCTTACTCAACAAACCCACATTCTGCAACTTTCTTAGGTGTTATCCTTGGTTAACAGGCAAGCACTTCAATAATGTTGTCAAAAAATGGGAAGGTTCTTTGATCATTTCTGCTTTTCCTCTTATGATCCTTGATCCTTTTATAGTCATGTTCCAAATTTTTATCGTGTGCTTTGTATTGGGGTGCATTATGAATGCAGCAAAGATTTTTTCCCAGCAAGCAGCTGATTTAACTGCTTCGAGATATGTTCCCAAACAGTAGAATTGTTTCTCTTACTGATAAGGAAATATTCCTTCTACTCAGCTTGTGCGTGTGACAAACAGAGCACAAAAATGTAGTCTCATTTTAAATTTTGTTGCATTTAGTAAAGACTAGCAAATATTGTAAATAAATTATTGTGGGAGGACTGAAAGAACGGCCTCCTCAAAGGGGTGAAAATTCTATCATGCTTGATGACAATTACAGAATGTCAGGGAGAATGTAATATTCCAGTCAGACTCTAAATATTATTCAGATGCTAATTAAAACACCTTGTACTTCGCTGCCTGCTTTCCCTGGGAGCATGATTTGTAGCTCTAATTGCCACTGTTTATCTGTGATTATGCAAAATTTTCAGTTTTTTTTCAAATTCCCTTTGACATCCTGTGGAGCTTTACTTCATAATCCCCAAGCCTATATTTTGTTGCCAGTTCATTCAAGACTAGACCGCCAGATGCTTCTTTAAAGACTACAGTCTGCAAATCACCTTTGATAGATATTCAGCTTCTATGATGTTCAAATGCTGTACCGGAATGAATAATAATAATAATAGTAATAATAATAAGTCTTTATACAGTTGCTCACATCACTGGAAAGTGGTATTAAGTGAGGCCCTGTGACATAAAATAAATTTCATCATAAATAGATAACAAGTTGAAAATATAAAAACTGTGAAATACACTGAATATGTTTTTAAAAATTGCTTAATTGTGGAGGCTAAAAAATCTCAACACTGAGTTAACTAAATATATAGTTTTTCACTCTGCTTAAAAAGGAGGAGAGTTGATTTCTTTCAAGGAAGTGCCTAAAAGATTCTATTCTTTTGAGCATATGTATTGAAGTCTTTGTTTTCCATAGTTTCTTTTAACAAGAGGAAGGCGGAAATTGTTCTTTCTTCTTGTATTATAACTGTGGATGTCAGAATTTCTTAAAATGTTAAAGCTATATTCCACAAGCCCATGAATGTATTTATGTAGAAAGTGCTGTTGGAGCAGTGTTGGCCAGCCAAGAGTTCTTAAAGTATCAGTGGATGAAGCATAGCTTGGCAAATCGAGGATAACTTTTGCAGCTTTATTTTGCAGTATTTGCAAATACTGTTTTAGATTGAAACAATCCCTCTGAGTTTTAGAAGATGATAGAAGCCTTTAATAACAGCAGACATTTTGATTCTCCCTGTGGCCAGAGGCATTTGACCTTTAATTAAGGATCAAGCAACAGATAGTATTAGAGTCAAATTGTTAGTGATTAATGTTAACAGACTTAGTAGAAAACTCACTGGGATGGTTTTGGTCTAAAACAATCTCACTTGGGCATAATAACGTAGGCTTTTTATTTGGTGGGGCAGTTTTATTTCATTTTATTTATGTTTATTTAAACTTGCGGGTTTCCAAATACGACAGAAACCATTTTTATGAATTCCCAAATATACCTTAAAGGATGTTGCGATCAGTGGAATCAAAAGCTTCCTTTAGATCTACAAAAATAACTGCATTGATTTTCCCAGCGTCTAGATAACATGGCCAGGAGTCAGTTGCCTCAAGGAAAGCTGTAGCAGTTGAGTGAATGATACCAAAATCCAACTGATATTTGCTTAGTATATCGTGCTCCTCTAAAAACGCATATAAATGTTCATAGACTATTTTCTCCAATACCTTGACCACAACTGGGATAATGAAGATTGGACAATAATTGTTCACGTCATCTATATCACCTTGCTTGGACATGGGTGTGACTAACAGATCATCAGTCTTGGGAATTTACCTTATTGACTTACTACTGAGGTTCTCTTCTTTCTTGAGAATTAGGGCCATGTGATGTAACCCCTTGTGGTATAGATTAGAGGAGCCTTTAATTTTTAAGTCTCATTAAAAAAAAAGTTGAGGCCTTTTTTGTATTTTATAAAACGACCATTACCTCAAATATTATGATCAGTGCTAGGAAATATGATTTAACGGCTACTTTTTGTAATAATTATTTTTTGTTACTGCAAGTTGTATGTTACCATTCAGTGCATTTGTTACACTAGACATACTTAGCTTTGTCATCTGGAAGTTGACGTGTGCAATCGATTTGAAGAGTCTCACTTAAAACTGGGACAATGACAAGTGCCACTCTTTTCTCTGTTGTTGGAAACTCCATTATCTCTAGTACTTCAAGAAAGTTTACCAGATGATTACACATGGCTCTCTGGTCATATCTTGTCATGGTGGAGTTTTTACCAGAGCATAAGGTGGTTGCAAAGAGTCCACAATAATTTGAACTTTACTAGGGTCCAAGATTAGTTTTTTTTGCTCTCAGCATAAAGTTTGATACTATTTTCTGAAGTGTCATCTCTGTGATCTACCCATACAGCAGGTTCTGGAGAGTTCTCATCTATGATAACTGTATTGTCCTTGGTGGTGGAGGACTAACTTTGGGCAAATGATCCTCTTCGACTTCAGTCTTTAAGTCTGCTTCGGTTAATTTGTATTTTACGTTGCATTTGAGTTCTATATCGTGTCCTTTTTTCAAGCTGCTTGCTCCTTGAGTGATTTTGCCTTTATCAGTTGGAAGAGGTCCAGGTATTTGAAGACAATTAGATGACTCTTTGGCTGATCTTTCTGTGTTTTTCTGAGTACAGGGTTTACTCTAACTGAATCTTCAGACTTATCATTTGCCATAGTGGCATCTTCGTTGCTATTTTGAGATGGTGAACTTGGTCGTTTACTTAATTTTGGGATTAGATTTCGATCTTCTGGAAATAAGTTTCTTACTATTTCTATCTCCAGAAACTCCTTTTGCTGCTTAGGATTTTCAGAAGACTCAATGGGGTCCACATGCCAGCCCTATTTCAGGTTGTTTGCTATCTGTCCAACTCTTCCTGAATATTTACTCTTAGGTGTAAAAACTTTGTACCACGCATCCAACATTGCTGTTTGGCTGTGAACTTCAAACTGACCTTCAACTTTGCAGATGACATGATGAGAGGGGATTGATTTTGCTAAATTTACCTTTTCCAAACAGTGCTGTACTATATGGCGTGGTCTTTTGTGTAGGTAGGATGGCATCCCTAGATGAATCCTTTTGTAATTGTTTGACAACCTGTGCCTCCAATTGTAAAATTTTATTGAGTGTCAGGTAACTTATTTTCTATGATAATTTATAATTACAGTGAAGAAGGGAGCCTTCTTTAATTAAGAACAGAGGTGTTCTTTTGAGTAAGTTAGAGGTCATATTTAGGATATTTTACAGGTGGGGGTGAAACAATGACAATTTTTCCTAGTATAGAAAGTGTGCTAATTTTAAAGGACCTAGAATTGCGTACCAGCTCTGTGTCAGGTAAAGGATCACCAGGTACAAAAGGGGGAGCTTTTATGGTACTATAATATTTCACCACAGTATTGCCAATTATTTTCCAGATACTGTGAAACTGTCACCAAAATCATTGTTAGTTGGAACAGAACTTACTTCATATATTTGTCTGGCAGGAATTGTGCAATCAGAATTTTTACCATGGTAGTAATGTTGGCACTTCTGTTTCCCTTTAGGTATTCATACTTGAAGGATTTATTT